CCCCCCCCCCCCACACAGAGAGAGAGGGGGGCAGAGAGAGGGCGAGGCGCCAATGTGAGTGTGCGTGTTCCAATGGCTGACAGGTTTGTTGACGCGTACAACATCCAGAAGACGGCGAGCGAGCGGATGCGCATCGCAGAGAACGACGACCAGGCCCAGCCAGGGGGCGATGAGGTCGACCTGGGCTTCACTCAGCAGGAGATCGACAAATTCAAAGAGATAGCCGACATGGGGGAGGTACGCGAGCCATCAACACACAACACACATGACCTCGATGGATGGATGGATGGCTGGATGGATGGCATCCATAACAGGGTGTGTACAAGGTGCTGGTCAAGAGCTTCGCCCCGAGCATCTGGGAGAATGACGACGTCAAAAAGGGTACGTGTGTGTGTGTGTGTGTGTGAGAACAAAAGAGCACTTGCCGGATGCACGCATTTCTCTGTGTGTGTTGGGGTAGGTTTGCTGTGTCAGCTGTTCGGGGGCAATGCGTGCTACAAGACGCGCAACAAAGACGGCAAAGTCACCTGGAGAGTCAGGTCAGTCTGAGTACATGTGCTGTGTGCTGTGTGTGAATGTGCTCCGACGCCGTGCCGTGTGTGTAGGGGTGAGATGAACATTTTGTTGTGCGGCGACCCCTCGACGGCCAAGTCGCAGCTGCTGGGATACTCACACAAGATTGCACACAGGTAGTTAAATACCTGTGAGACCACACGAGAGAGCGAAAGCATACCACGTCTCAAACACATGGATGGACAGGGCCACGCAGGCGACCGGCAGAGGCACGTCGGCCACCGGCCTGACAGCCTACATACTCAAGGCAATCTCACAATCACACAATAAGACCAACACGGAAACACACACATGGATGGCTGGCTATGTCTCTGCGTGTGTGTGTTGATAGGATCCCGAGACCAAGGAGGTGATTTTGGAGAGCGGCGCACTCGTACTCGGAGACAGAGGTAACCCTCCCCAACCCAATTTCCCATATTCATCTCTTTGCGTTTCTTTCTCTCTCTCTCTCTCTCTGTGTGTGTGTGTGTGTGTGTGTGTCACCAGGTTTGTGTTGCATCGACGAGTTTGACAAGATGGACGACAGCGCACGGTAGAAACCAGCAGCTCACCGTGCACACGCACATGCATTCACCTGAGAGTTGGGCTATGTGTGTGTGTGTGAAGTGCGATATTGCACGAGGCGATGGAGCAGCAGACGGTGTCCATCGCCAAGGCCGGCATGGTCTGCTCACTCAACGCCAGAACCGGTGGGTGCCTGGTGGGGAGTCTGTGCATCCCGAATGGGTGGATGGATTTTCTCTCTTTCTCTCTCTCCTGCGTGTGTGCACATTCAGCTGTGCTCGCGTGTGCGAATCCCGTGCTGTCGCGATACGACCCCACCAAAGTACACACAGAGACACAGACACACACAGGTGGATGGGATGCCCCTTTGTCCTGTGTGTGATGTGTGTGCAGTCGATAGTGGCCAACATCAACCTGCCGCCCACGCTGATGTCGCGATTCGACCTCATCTACCTCATGCTGGACAAGGCAAACAACCAACCACACACCCACTAGCCTCCACACACACACACACACACACAGGGGGGGAGACAGACACGGACACACACCACTCTCTGTCTCTCTGTGTGTGTTGGGTGTGGTGTGTGTGTTCAGTCCAACGCAACGACCGACGAGAAGTTGGCCCGGCACATCGCCCTCCTCTACTGCGGCGATGCGGCATACAACATGGGGGATGGCGAGGGAGGGGAGGGGGAGGGGGAGGGGGAGGTGGAGTTGCTCGACCGCAAGCTGCTCGCAAACTACATCAGCTATGCTCGCACGTACGCACACACAAAGGGACCAATGGGTGGGTCAACACACGTCGTGGGTGTTGTCTTGTGGGTGGGGTGTTGTTGTGCAGTCACGTGAAGCCCCGGCTCACGAATGACGCCGCCGAAGCACTGCAGGACGTATGTATGCCCGTTGATGCCCACCAGCACTCACTCGCCCATAACTCTCTCCCTTTCTCTCTGTCTGTCTGTCTGCCTGCCTGTCTGTCTGTGGGTATGCTTGTCTACAGTCCTATGTTGCGATCCGCCAGGAGGGAGGGAGCTCGCGAAGGCAACCATACACACATCCACTCACCCACCAGTCTATCTTCGGGTGTGTGTATTGGCTGCACGCAGGAATATCACGGCAACCCCCCGTCAGCTCGAGAGTTTGATCCGCATCAGCGAGGCCCTCGCGCGTATGCAGCTCAAGGAGATGGTGGAGCCAGCACACGTGCGGGAGGCCGTCAGGTAACCACACACACACAGACAAGACACACACACACGTGTTTGTATCTCTCTCTGTGCGTGCAGGTTGATGAGGGCCGCCACGTTCAAAGCCGCCGTCGACCCACACACAGGCACCTATACACATACACACACACACACACACACGCGGAGAGAGACGGAGAGAGAGAGAGAGAGAGAGAGACGCGGATGGATGGATGGATGGGTGCATCTGTCTGTTTGTGTGCAGGTCGCATAGACATGGACGCGTTGTTCACGGGCACGAGCAACCTCGCGAGAGAACGGACCAACAAGATCGAAGAGGCCACCGTAGAGGCCCTGGTCCGTCTGCCACCGAGCCACATACATTCAAAAACACATATATCCATGTGTGTGTCAGAGGAATGCCCCCAATGGGATGAAGGCCGAGGACCTGCTGCGCGAAGTCAACCAGACCCTGGTACGTACGCATTATTGATTGACGCGTCCGTGGACGAGAGCAAAGCTCCGATCTGTGTGTGGCGTGGTGTGTATTTAGACGGCTGAGGAGCTCGAGACCCTCGACCAGATCGAATTTGACTCGCACCTGGCGGGACTCGTCCGCAACAGTACGCACAGACAGAGAGAGAGAGAGAGAGCGACCCATCCATCCATGTGTGTGTGATTGCAGGTGTTATTCGTGAGACAGCACACAAGGTGTACCTCCTGGTGGTCACGGAGTGACCGGCAAAGTGAGTGGGTGGGATGGATGGATGGATGGTAGAAGAACTGCGTATACAGGTGCGTGCGTGTGATACCTCTACGTGGATGTGCGGCCGCCATGGTATGTTCGTATGACCTGTATGGATTGATTGAGCGAACTCATGTGTCCCCGTCCGTCCTTCTCACCTGTCCAGCACCCCACCCCACCAAGAAAAGGCCACTCGTCCACCCACACCCACACCCACACAACGGATAAATCGTTCGTACAAGTATACAGCTTCAACTGGAAAAAGTTGAGCAAAACCACCGCATAGACACACACACTCACACGTTCACACATATACAGAATAAAGCCATGACGCCGTACGCACACTCGAGCGCCGTCAGGATACACACATACATTCACGCGCAGAGGCAAGAACCCTTCATAAAAACAGCACAATACAGCGCTACCCGTCCTACCGCCCCGGCTAGTTCGGCGCCCGTTGGCCATCTGCGTCAATTTCCGGGTTGCACGGCGGGGGCGGCACGGGCGACCCCACCACCACCACAGGGGCACCACCAGCACCACTGCTGCTGCTGGACTCACCTGCCTGCTGCTGCTGGTGGTGCTGTTCTTCGGCATCAGAAGCAGCAGCAGGGTGTTGCGGAACGGGAGGTAATGGGTGCAAGCGGCCTGCATGCCATACACACACAGCAATGGGCCGGGGGAATGGGTCCAGGTGTGTGGTGTGGTGTGTGACTGCGGTTACGAGGTTGCCCCTTAGGTCGTCTCCTGAGGCCCAGGAAGTAAGCATGTGTCTGCAGAGGGAGACAGAGATGCGCACACACATACGCGTCGATCAATCAATCAGTGTGTTTCCAGCGTGTTTGTGTACCCCTCGGGCGTGCAGGTTGATGTAGTATATCAGCCACAGAATGCCCGGACCAACAGCTATGCCCAGCTGACATGACACACGACGCGCGTCTGTAATATACTATGTCTGTGCTCTCGGCTAGCTATGTGTGTAGACCTACCGCCGTCCACACGAGGGAGAAGGGCGAGTGGAAGAGAAACCGCGCCTTCCACGGCCCATCAAACTCCCCACCTGCACACACACACGCACAAGCAATGTGACCTGTTTATGCAGAGGCTGTGTGCATCACATAAGCACCTTTCCAGTGCAAGTTGGCCCATCCGACAGGAGCGGCCAGCAGCCCCACCACGATTGAAAGCAGCACACAGTTGACCACGAAACACACCACACCGAACACCATGCTGCCCACCTGCACACACAGACAACCAGACAGACAGACAGACAGACCCGTCAAAAGCACCTGTGCGCATGGATGTGTGTGTGTGTATGGGTTTCGCTGCCTTACGGCAACGTATATGCGGACATTCCAAGGCGCCCCGCCCTTGATGAAGGCGCAGAGACCGCCGCAGGAGAAGCAAGAAGGCCCGCCAGTCTGTCGACACGTGACACACAACACATGCAATTCCACCCACCCATCCATCCGTCCATCTGCCACCCTTTCATTGCCTCCATACACGTGGGTCGTCGTCAAACTCTGCCACAGACGGGGGAGAGGGCTGCTTCAGCTGACGACACAAACAGACAGATGAGTCTGTGTGGGCTGGATGCGGTGCTCGGTTGCTTACATGGTATGTGTGGTGTCTGTCCAGCCCGTTGAGCAGCGCCATCTGCATGGCCCGATACACAAAGGCAAAGGCGCCGCCCAAAGCGATGAACACCACACCAACCAGACACGCGGGAAGCAGCCCAATGCCCACCTGCACAACACGCCATCCAACCACACAGACACACACCCATTGGGTCTTGTGTGTATGTGTGTGTGTGTGTGTGTCGGCCGATTGACTGACCAATGTGAGAGTGAGTGTGGTGATGCCGAAAACGAGGTTGAGTGGCAGCTGCAGCAGCGCCATGTGGAAGAGCCCGCCCCAGAAGTCAGCAGAGAACAGCACGCCGAAATAACTGAGGCCACCTGCACAAAACAAACACACACCAACACCAATGCCCTGCAGTGCGGTGCGCCCGCCATCTGTGTGTGCATACTGTACCCGTGAAGGAGCACGCCAGTTCCTCTGCGCTGGGCGGTTCGTGGACCGCATAGCGCACAGACGACTGCATCATCTGGACAGATGACGACTGCATGGCCCAATCTGCGCCTCCCTCACTTGTGCGAGCTCATGCCACAGCTTGCCATTCTTGTTGTCGGAAGATCCCGCCGCTTTTTGCCGTTGTTTTGCCTGCCGTGAGCGTCATTCGCCTCTCGTCGACCGTTCCTACCGGTGAGAAGCGAGCGAGACGTCCTTGACCTCGGTCATCTGTGTGAGCTGCCTCGACAACCGACCGATGGCGTCATCTGGCAGCCCTGTGCTGAATCAGCTGTTAGCGACGATCGGCGCTGTTGGCGGCGGTGCGGCCGCCGCCAGCGCGTCGGCGAGTAGTGGAGCGGCTGCAGCAGCTGCTGCTGCCGGTGGTGCGGGAGCAAGTGTGCAGCAGGGCGGTGCTGCTAGTGCTGGTGGGTGGGAGGGAATGATCGGATCAGATGGGATGGGGAGCAGATCTACGCATGTGCATGTGGATCTATCGCTGTGTGGCGTTTGGTGTGTGTGCAGGTGGTGGTGGTGGTTCTTCTGCCGCTTCCCCGAGTTTTGACATGCTGCATCAGCACATACTCAACCCCATTCAGGACAGTAAGCGGACAGACAGACACACCGACCCACCTCACCCCACAAAGATAGATACGATGGATGGGTGTGTGCGTGTTCAGAGGACTCGCTGGTGACACTGATCTCTCACCTGCGCGACAACGAACAAGTCCTCAAGGATAACAAACGTAGGCACGCAGGCGCCATCCCCCCCCCCACACACGCACACACGGATGCTCTCACACACGTATGTGTGTGTGGATGTATCTGTGTGTCCGTATGCAGAGAATGTGTCCACCCTCCTGAACAACCTCAGCAATGCCACCCACTCTGCCGTCATCGCCGTGCTGCTGCGGTGCGACCTCCACACGCACACACACACAGAGAGAGAGAGAGCGAGATGAGCATGTTGTTTGTGTGTGCGTTGGATGTGCTGTGTGTGTTGTGTGCAGATCTCAGATGAGGCACATGGACGACAACGCCGACCGGAATGCGGTGTTCCGCTACGTGACCAACTTCCTCAAGGACTGCGACGCCACACAGGTGCACACACACACACACCCCTGCACACACGCTCGCACAACAGATGGACGGGTGTGTGTGTGTGTGTGGTAAAGATCAAGCTGGTGGCTCGCGAGTTCTACTCCATTTGTTCCCGATACTCAGAGATGGCCATGCAGCTCCCCCAAGGCACACACGCACACACCGCCACACACGCACGCGTGTCTGTGTGTGTATACTGTGTGTGTGGTGGCACATGCAGGTCTGCGTGCGTTGCCTGCGTTGAAGGCGGCGATCGGCAAGCTGCAGCCGGCGCCCCATGTGCTCACACCCATACACCCGGAATTCCTCAAAGTGAGGAACGACACTCACACACACATATACACACAGGCGGATACCCGTGTTGGTGTGTGTGATGTGTGTTGACTGATATTGTGTGTCTGGCAGGTGTGTCTGAAGCTGAAGCACTACACGTACGCCGTCGACGTGATAGAGGTGCCCATTCTCGATCTCAAACCCAAGGTAAATCCACACACACACAACACACACAGCGTCATATGTGTCTGTGTATGTGTCTGTGGTCGTGTGTGTGCGTGTGTTCTTAGCAAACGTGTCTGTACGTGGAGGATTTTCTGCTGTACTTCTACTACGGCGCCATGATACACATCGGACTCAAGGCAACCACACCACACACCCACCCATCCACACACCCTGACACACACGCACTCATGTGTGTGGCGTGTTTGTGTGTGCAGGAGTACCCCCGCGCCATTCAGTTCCTCAATCTCGTGCTGTGCTGCCCCGGCACATGTGTGTCGGCCATACAAGTATGGATGGATCGATGCGTGTGTACGTGTGTGTGTGTGTGTGTCAATCTGACGTCAATGTCAGATTGACGCGTGGAAGAAGCTGGTGTTGGTGCATCTGATCGAACACGGCGAGGGCCCCCAGACACCCAAATCATCACCTGTCAGTGTGCTGCACACATATACATGCACATATGCACACGCGCATTCCTTGTGTGTGTGTGTGTGTGTGTGTGTGTGTGTAGGCGTTGTCTCGTGCTATCGCTCCCTCCAGCGGCCATCACAACTACCGCTCGCAGTCCTCTGGCGCAGTGGTATACACAGACACTCACACAAGACATACAGGGAAGATAGCATCGCCACTTGTGTGTGTGCGGTGTGTGCAGGGTCTGTCGCCCTACAATGACATCATCGACGCGTTCAAAAGCAAAGTACCCATCCCCCCAAATGCACACACATTAGCCTATGTGGCTACATTCGCCTGTGTGTGTGCAGGATACTGTCAAGATGGCCCGTGTGCTGAGCGGCCCCTCCTCTGTCGACATACTCAACCGCGACCAAAACATGGGACTTGCCAAACAATGCAGCGCTGTAAGATCGACACCACACAAACACACACACACCCATTCACACGCATGTCTCTGTCCATCCATATATCAGGCGCTGCACCGTCGTATGATAGTGAACCTGACGTCTACGTATCTCACCCTCTCCCTCGACGACATCAGACAGCGAGTGCACCTTCAGGTAGTGACGCATGAGCGTTGGACGTGTGCCTCTTGTGTGATGGATGGATGGATGGATGAATGGATGTGTGCAGTCTGTGGACGAGGCCGAGACGATGGTCTTCGACATGATCACCCGGGTAAGTGGAGTGTGAGAGAGAGGGGAAACAGATGGGAATGGCGTGGCCCGCCCCCTCTACACACACGTGCATGACGATGGGTGCAGGGTCAGATCAACGCGGTGATAGACCACAGCTCCAACCACGTCATATTCAGCGAAGGAGACACAGACGAGGTACACACACACACCAAACCACACAGACATACTGATGACCACCGATGTGTGTGTGTGTGTGTGTGTGTGCAGGATTCGACCAAGGATAGTGGGGAGGGCGTGTTGACTCAGCAGCAGATGGACGCACAGGCCAAACAGATGATCGACATAGGCGAGATGATCCGAAAACTAGACATACAGGTACACATCACACACACGCCACCACACACCCCACCGTGTGTGTGCTCACACGTCCACACCCACAGATAGCGGTGGACCCCCATTTCCTCAAGCGCAAGGAAGGCGGCGAGCGTGGCGGTGGGGCCCTCTTCGACGATGAGCGAGAGTGTATGCAACCACACAACACAACTCCCCACCCCGCACATCTAGGTGTGTGTGTGCATGTGTGCATTCAGTTGGCTTCGGTCGGTCGCGTGCGATGCGCTACGGCCCTTCGCGTGTCGACACCATGCGAAACGCATCGCGAAAGAACGTCATGCCCATGCAGGTGGGTCGCTGACTCACGAGCACACAACCCACAAGCCACTCATCCACGCATTCATTGATCAGGGTCGTTTGCGTCGCGAGGGAGCGCCTTTGCCGCGTGAGGGAGCGCCTTCGCAGCGTCGCTTCCGGCAGCCGGCCATCAAGGAGCGAGATAGAGACCGCGACAACCGGGACGGCCGAACGATGGGTACTCACTTGAGAAATCGAGAGACGCATCTGCACCAAAGGATCTCTCTCCCTGTCTCTCTCTCTGTGTTTGTGTCAAGGTATGGATGTGGACAACGACATGGAGATGGGCGATGAAGATGACGACGAGGAAGGCGCAGACGGTGAGATGACGCCCCATACACACCCGTTCATCCCTCCATACACACCGCCTGTCTGTGTGCCATGTGTGCCGTTTAGAGGATGAGTTGAACGGCGAGGAGGAGACCCCCCGCTCGGGCGTCAAGCGACCCTACCAGCAGCGACTCGCAAGTAACCCCACACCTATCCAGGCGCACCCACACCCACCCTCACACCCCAATGTGCACACTCAGATGACGATATGGATGTGCTCCCTGCTGGCCGCGAGCACGACCCCATGGAGAACGGCGTCGACGCCATTGAAGAGGAGGAGGGACACCACGACAATGGCAACAACGACGGTGACACCGGCGGCGGGGGCGCACGCGACAAGCACCAGCGAGACCAAGTGAGGTGATCGAGGGATGATAGGTAGGCAGGCCATATGGGAGACACACATGTGGACACACATGGGGTTGTGTGTTGTGTGTTGGGTGCAGGTGGACCAGAGCGGCGATGCGGTGATGGCCTCTGCAGACAATGCGCCCGAGATGACCACCACAGAGGGGCGGCTCCAGTGAACATACCGACACCCAATGTACACTTACAGACATACAGCGGAGGAAGGACATTTTGTGCATTTTAATCGGCAGCCAGCCTTCATGTGTGAGTGCGTGTGCCTGCCTGCATTGATTGATGATGACCGTTTTTGTGTCTTTGTGGGAGTGAATGGAATGGGTGGCGGCTGGGGGAATGGGGTGAGGGAGGCGCAAAGCGGCACATAGCAGATGGACCGATGGCTGGATGTGTGGTGGTGGAATGGATTTGTGACAATGACGGTCGATTCCTTCATTGGTTGGTTCATTTATCCATGCGAGTACGCCTGCCTGCCTTTCATTATCAAGAGCAGCCTTATTCTTTCTCTCTCCCTCTCTCGTCGCCTGTGCCATAGAGAAAGCCGTCAATGCATGTGTGTGTGTGTGTCAGTTCGTTTGCGCGTGTGCAATAGGGCCGCCAAAGGATGTGTTTCCATGCAGTGATGTCGTATCTCACTCCCCAGTGTATGCGTGTCACGCCCATAGAGCCGCCCATCCATCAGGACAAAAGAGTGTGGCTCTCTGTGTCTGAGAGTGCTCTCTGCACTACATACCCGCCTTGTTTGTCAGAAGCGACACGAGTATCGGTGAAGGCCTGTCCATCCCACCTCACAGACACTAGGGACGCAGAGAGCGACGCGCAGGGATGGACAAGTGACTCACGCAATCAGTCACTGCTGCAGACACACAGACACAACACATGCATCTATCGATTTCAACGTGCACATCTTCCAGGCATACCTTTTGGACTCGTTCGGCCCCCTCCGCTCCCTCTGAAATCTCCCTCCCATCTGCGAGCTAAGCTTGCAAACCTGCCGTGCGCGTGAAGGGTGGTTACGACGGCGGAGGAACCAAACAGGAGGAAGAAGCGACGTGTCGATGGTGCTGATGGAGATCTCCCCGACAACGATGGAGATCTGCACAAGACCGCCACCTCGCCCCCTCCCGCCCTCCCCCTGCACATCGGCGACGCTGCATCCCCGAGTGCCCATCTCTACGGCAGCCCTGAGGCGAATGCGCCATCGTACCAGTCGACCAAGCGGCCTCTCACGCCGCCCCTCACCCAATGCTCTGACAGTGAGTGCCTGCTCGTGGATGTCGTCTTTGAGGCCGTCTGGGCCTTTCCGCACACCGACGTCGTCGAGGAGGTGGTGAGAGAGCCGGGCAGTCTGTTTGTCGGTGACCGGAGATGCCATCTCGACAACAGGTGGGCAGAGATCTCTCATTTCTGTCACAGGTTGGGCCACGTGTCTGTGTTGTGTGTTGTGTTTGTTCATTCATCTTTGTGAGCATCGCTGAAGGGCACTCACTCTTTCTTGATGTGTTTGTTGTGTGCGTCAGGCATGTCGGCTCATCAAGCAGTGGTGCCGCTGACCAGCAGCCAGCCACACCAGACACCATCCAATACCAGTAGCCCACCCACACCCACCCCTTCACACACACAACCCTACACACAGCGCGTGGCATACTCGTGTGTATGTGTGTGCGTCAGAGAGGGAATCGTTGAAGCTCGGCGGTGAGGGACGCAAGGCTCTGATCAAGAGGCTCAGAGAGTTCCACGAAGGCAGCAAGGACCTCGTGGTGACCTCACCAACCACACTCAGACGAGGCACTGCTGGCCGGTGTGTGAACTGCCCTCTTGTCTCTCCGGTGGCTTGGTTTGCTGGTTGGGTGCAGGAGGAGACGCTGCTCGATCAAGGTCTCAAATACGGCGAAATCCGCAACGCCACTCTGCCACAGGTAGACAGACACAGACACAAACACACACATGAGCATCTGTGTGTGTGTCTGTCTGTCTGTCTGTCTGTCTGTGTGTCTGTCAGCTGCTCAAGATGGCTTACGTGTGTGGTCTGTGGGAGGAGGCCGTGCAGCTGCACCGCGACCGCATGAAGCGATGCACACCCAGACCACTGACCCTCCCACCGCCCCCAGGCTGCGGCCTCACCGCACACCAGCGGCCCCCGCCATTCCCCTCCGGCCCCCGCCATTCCCCTCACCCCCACTAGTAAGCCCCAGGAACCATGGCCACATCCACTGGTCGCCCGGAACCATCTGAGCGTGCGGGCGCAGTGTGCCTGCAAGCCAACAGGGGATGTCCCCTCACCACAGGTGCCGCAATCGTCGCACTTGAAGGAGGATCACCCCGGCAGCCGCCTGGCGCACGAGGGCGTCGGGGCACGCCGCGCCTGGTGTTCTCCGAGAACGTCAAGGACTTCTTCAACAAACACTACCAGATGACGGAGCCGCCCTCCGAGTCGGTGTTGCTGGGCGGTAGCCTGGAGGAGCTGACCAGACCAACCACGAAAACCGTCAAGCGGAAACATGTAGGCGCTGAACAAGGGGGGAGAGAGGGCTGCGGGGTCGGACCACTGTTGTCTGTGTGGGTGGCGGCCATCGTGTATCGCATCTCTGGAGCAGTCGGCCATTCGTGCGAACCACAGCACTCCCTCGGCTCGGCGGCAGTCGCGTACCAGGAACAGGACGAGGAGCAGGCTGACGTGCAGTCCATCTTAGCGCCCAAGGCCAAGCAGAAGAAAACGGCCAAGAAGAAGCCAAAGGCGGCAGCACCGAGGGGCTGGGCGAGGGCGAAGGCCAGAAGCCGAGGCAGGGGAGGAGGGGGAGGAATTGTTGGCGGCATCGACAGCGGCAGCACAGCCGGCGGCGTATTATGGTGACGACGATGAGGACATGAGGATGGCAAGCGATCACGACAAGGCGGATGAGTGAGAGGAGGCGGGTGGTGTAGATAGTCGTGGCTGACTTCTTGATGCATGGACACGTGCGTGACTGACCGCATTCATGGGTTGCGTGAATGCGTTCATTCGCAGAGCACAAAAGTCCGCTTCCAAGCGGCGGGCTGCATGCAGGCCGCCTAGGGTATTCCATGAAACCGCTGGGAAGGGTGCCGTCTCTCTGAACGTACTGAAGGGCACGTCCACAGACAACCTGCCGGCGATGCAGCGCGCCGGCCTCTACTCATAGCCTCTGCTGCTTGCCAGGTACGATACGCATCAACAAATACTGCGTGCATGCCTGCTCCCTAGTACAGATCAGATCCCGCCATGTTCCATTACCTTCGTCCCCTCCTCAGGCTGATTAACTGTATTGTGGCCATGCCCAGGGAGATCCCCTCCCGGGACGACCCATCCCAGATCATCGTGGTTGATTGACTTATCTCTCTTCCCTTCTTGTGTTTGGCCATGCCGAACACTCAGAGCTCATCGTGGAGCAGCTGGGAGGTGCCCGCCAGGCCAGTGCCTGAGGACCTCAAGCACCTGCACCAGCTTTATGGCGACTCGGCCTTCGGCAAGACGCTCGCCAAGTGGGCCCAGGAGATACCTGACGCGGCTGCCATCACGTGGCTCAACGGTGATGGGGAGCCGGCCGAGGTGTTCACATACAGCGAGCTCTTCAGCAAGGTGCAGCGGCTCGGCGCCTATCTCACCGAGGATCTGGGATTGGAGATGGGTGACCGGGTGATCCTGTGCTATCCGCCCGGCGCGGACTTCATCCTCGCCTTCCTCGCATGCCTTTACACGGGCATCGTTGCGGTGCCTGTGTATCCCCCCGCCCCCAACACCACCAACATCGATGTGCCGCGCTTCTGCGACATCGCCGAGAACGCTGGGGTGCGCTATTCGCTCACCAACACCGCCTACCAGAAGATAGCCCTGGTCGTGGGCACGCTCAGCAAGGACAGCAGGTGGAGATCTATCGAGTGGATACTCACCAGCGACGCATTCAAGAGGACGGGTGCCGACAAGGGTGGTGACGAGCACGAGACCGTCTACACCCCCCCGTGCATCGGCCTGAGCGACATCGCGTTGCTGCAGTTCACGTCGGGGTCCACATCGACGCCCAAGGGCGTGATGGTGACGCACGGCTCGCTGCTGCACAACGTCCACTGCTGCATCACGGCCTACGGCTGGGACAGCAAGATCGACGACCCCACCATCCCCAACATCACAGCGACGGGGCAGCCCTACAGTAGGATGCGCGAGATAATGATGCAGCGTCACGAGATCAGCAACCGGGTGCGGGGTCACCGCATGCGGTGCTTCTCGTGGCTTCCCGTCTACCACGACATGGGGCTCATCGGATTCCTCTGCACGCCCCTCTTCTTTGGATTTGAAGCTGTCCAGATGTCGCCGCTCGACTTCGTCATGAAGCCGCACCTGTGGCTACAAGGTGCCTGCACAAATCCCGAGCCGACCACCGAGTGATGCTCATGTGGTGTTTGTGTGTGGTTTTATTCTCATGGAATAGGCATGAGCCGATACAAGGCTGGCGCGTGCGCGGTCCCAAATTTTGCCTTCGAGTTGGTGACGCGCAAGATGCCCGACAGCGTGTTTGAGGAGCTGGACCTCAGTCACGTGTCCGGCTTCCTGTGCGGGGCAGAGCCAATCAGAGGGGCCATTGTAGATAAATTCGTCAAGGTGCGTGTGTGCGCGTGAGTGGGTGCAGGCGGCCAATGATGAATGAAAGAGAACACGATGGCTGTCTGTTTGTGTCTGTGTTGTTGTCCATTCAGAAATTCGCGAGGAAGGGTGTGACTCGCAGCAAGGTTCTGCCAGCGTATGGGTTGGCCGAGAACACCCTGTGCGTGTCGGCCCGCAAAGACATTGACAGCGAGCCGTTCATCATCAGTGTCAACGCCGAGAAATTGAGAAACCAAGTACAAGAACAAACACATAGCAGACATCCGTTGCACACATCTGCGTGCGTGTGGCCAGGGTGTGGTTGAGTTGGTGGATGAAGCTGACATGGATGGCAGTCATGAGGGCGAGTACCAGCGGCTCGTCGGATGTGGCGTACCCCTCTCTGGAATAGACGGTACACACACCACTGACCGACGATATCGATCACGAGATAGGCATAGTTGTACCGCCTGCTTCGTTCAGTTCGCATTGTTGACTCCGAAGCGATGAAGGAGCTGCCGGAGGGCCAATGTGGTGAGGTGTGGGTCATGTCTGGCAGCACGGCCCGCGGCTATTTCAACCAGCCCGACGAGGCGCAGGAGTCGTTCCACGGGCAGTGCATCTACCTGACAGGCGACAAGTCGGAGCCCTTGTACCTGCGGACAGGTGACATGGGCTTTTTCTACAAGGGAGAGCTCTTCATCGCCGGGCGCATCGAGGACATGATCATCGTCAATGGTCGCAACTTCTTCCCGCAGGTCATCGAGGAGGCCGCAGAGAGCTGCGAGTCGGTCCGCAAG